ACTAATTAATAATACTTTATTAATAATACTTTGATTAAGGTATTTCCCTTCGAAACAAATCAATTTTGGAGACGAAAAACGGCAGGAATTAAGTTTAACACCTAATATATAATTTAAATATAAATAACGTCACTATCATTTATTTAACAAAGTTTTCAGATATTTCAAGTATGTTTCTGCCTACCATGTTTCTTTCTCGTAAAAAGTGCGAGTTAAAATCAATGTTGAGAGGTGAACAAATGAGAAATTCGTTAAAATATATTAAAGAAATGATGTAACGAACGAAAAAAAAAAGGAATTAAATAGTTGCAATAATTACAAATTATTCACACAATGGATTTTATACAGACATATGAACATTGGACTCTAGATTTGTATCATGTATTTACGTGCACTCTAAAAACACGTTTTAAATGTATAACGTAGATAGTTTTCCATATTGCCGATTTGATCTTTTATCGCGTTTATATTCGTGTCATGAACAAAGGTGCTTTGAGAATAATACGAAACTCGATGCGATACGGAGTGACTCAGCGTTTACAGATTAGTGTCAGTTGCGTATGTGCGATAGGGAACTTTTTATACCTTAGCGCGAAGTTAAAACAATAATGACAAAAAATATTCGCACAGGCCTGATCTGCTATACATTAAAATAATATGTACACTAAGTTACGATATATTATAGATATCTCCGCGGTATTAATGTTTTCCAATAATACATATCGTTTTATATATGATGTTGTATATTTGATGTTTTGTATAAACATACAAACAAGAACATAAAGATATAAACATTATAAATTGTAAACTTGTAAAATTAGAAAAACTAAATAAATAATTGTTAAGAGTAATAATACGTAATGAATAATTACAAGTAATAATTATACATAATTATGTATAATTATTGTCTCATTACTTATAAGTAATTCATTTTTTCCAATGTTAGAAATTTATATTGTTCTTGTTTGTATGTTTATATTAATTTATTGATAAATTAATTAATTATAAATAAATAATAATATTAACGTTGTCGATATACTGTATTGGAAACAATATTTTTTTAAATCATATTTCTTTATTGTTTATTTTTTTGCCGTCTCTTTTTTTATCGAGGAATTCTGGCGACCGTGTTATGTAAACACGCATGAAGACTAAAGTATAATATTACATATATCTTTCGACTACCGCGTAAACACACAATCTCTTAGCGAAGAAAACGTATTCTGTTTTGTATTACTTTTTCTTTCTCTCCATTGTATAGTACCACATGATTTCATTTGTGTCCTTTACAATACTGACTGCTGACATAAACCAGACGCCATTACCTTTCACTATATTTCACTTCTGAAGTTGGGGTAATACATTTTTATAAGCCGACATCTGATCCAAATTTATAACAGACAAAACTTTCTAGGCGATATCACAAAGTCGGAAACATAAAATATAAACTTTTAGCATTATTAATTTTTGAAGTAAAATGTGAATAAATCATTTTGTTATTTTATAATTCCATAATATCATTTTGTTGCATGTCTTTATAACGGGAGGATCCCGTTTGCCTACAGTTCTGATTGTACACACCACTCATATCAACTGGTGCCTAGTAATTTTTCACTGTTTTGCCAATGAGATTATTTTATTTTTAAATTGGCCAATCAGCGATACATGTGTGCAATATGCGATGTGTGCAATCGGAGCCCTCCCTTTATAACTCTGTAACATTCAAAAATAGTTGAAAAATTAGTTGGAATCGTTGAGTAATAATAAAATTTTATTTTGAGATTTTTATTTGATTTTATTTCGAGAAATTAGCTCGACGCATTGCCATATATATATTATTTATCGCCTTAAATACGACCTTGATAATACCGCTGCTACAAATCAATAACGTTTTGTACAATTAATAAGGTAATAATTTATACAATAATGAAATATTAGCAACTTTATATTCAATTATTTAGTTCATTTATAAGGAATCGAGTAAGGAATAAATGTAAATATTTATGTATAAAGAAGAAACCTTTCCTATTTGTAGATAAAATAATATCGATATTATATGTAAATCTAAGGTCCAGTTCCACAACTCACGGTTGTGAATATAACTTTTAATCGAGGTTCAATTTATTCATTGTCTGTTTCCAATTTTAGAATTGAAAAGAGATGAGAAACAAGTGAACTGGGCCTAAATATGTCGATTTATATGTAGACATCTAGACAACTAAACAAAAACGTAATGTTATTTCATATATTAAACGTAATATTATTATATATATAATAAATATAATAATAAATGAAAGACTGAATTTTTTTAAAATTTCGGTTCAATCATTTTCATTCAATGGTCCGTTCAATTTTCTGTTCTAAAGTAAAATCTCGATGAATAAAATCTCAATCTCATGGATCGAAATTTCGATCTCATAC